TCCTTCTTTCAGTTATGCATTTTATTAAGTTTTGAAAACGTGGACATGGAAAAGGAAGATAATATATGTGGAAGGTAATTTGAAAAAATTATATAAAAGTGCGATTGTTTATTTTAATACATTTCCAGTATATCATTGATAAAAGGAATAATGGTTAATATAAATGAGGTGTTGAAAAAAGTGCATGGGTCCTTTAGAGTCCTCTCAAAGAACCAGAGGCAAGCGACGAAGCACTAGTTTCACTTCTACCTGTATTGGACCTTCTACAGCAGTGCTCACATGGAACTGGGTGGGAAAGAGTTCAGATATATCTCAGTGAAGCTTCGTGTCTGTTAGTAGATACTTGGCCTAAGAATTCTCAACTCTACTCCAATGGCTAACAGGGTTAGTCATTAAAAAAAGGTTGATACATTCGCTTCCAAAGGAGTTTTTTTCTTGAACAGCGACAAGTTTATTGGATTTAACTGCTGGAATTTTGACTGGCTTTAAATCCAGCCAAAATTAAAATAAATAAATATATAATAATAGCTAGAAAACAGTCAATATTTAAGGCCCTGGTTTGAAAAATACATCCACATGAAAATCATGTGATTCAGAATGTTGGAAATACTTTGACTGATAAATGTGCTATAAAAAAAAAGTAATTCAATTTTCAATTAGCATTTAGTCATTTGTAGGACTTTGTATACTTTAGATGTGTTAACTAAACATAGACATAGACTATAGTTCATTATTGCTAATATTATTATGATTATTTTTATATATTTTAGCACCCTGCTCAAATTAACTTGGCTCCAAAAATATTAACTTTTGAAATCAATATTTTAAGTTTGAAATTCCCACTGATGATCCTTATTAACTTATCAAATATCAGAGAGATAATGAAGTAATAATGGGTTAACTAAACTGAAAGACCACAGAACGCTCTGCAAGGTTCTCAGGTTTTCTAAACTCCTTATATGATGTCATTCTTATAATAGAGAAAGCTATCTTGTAAATTGACAATTTACCACCTGATGTCTTTTGCCATTAGCTCACAGTAAATGGGAGAAGACCTACATATTTATACATTATTTTGAAATATTTGTTTTTTCCATTTCCTCTGTTTATCATTCTATGAAGCTAGGATTTTTAATATGCTGTGCTGCTGCTACAGATACAGGTATATTATGTGAATTGCAATCAACTATTCATTCAGCTTTCACTGTTAAATAGAACATAAAAAGCATTGATACTAGCTTTTCATAACTCAGATTTAGCAAGTACCTTCCTGTAACACATTAGAACCTAACACTTTATAAAATGCTACCTCACACTCGAACAAATATGTCACAACACTCTGTTAATGAGGATGTAATTTCAATGTGCAGAAAGATATGCAAGCTTGCTATTACTCTATTCATTGGGAATACAAATGTTTTACATGTATATGATCTATGCCATATTTCCCAGGTGGATTATTACATAAGCCAGGTGTTAGCAACCTATGGCCCACAGGCCACACCAGGAATGACCCTTGCAATACAGCAGCCATCATCTTACGCTTTGAAATACAAGGCATTTGGTCCACCGTATGCCTCCTCTAAAGTTTTCCCCCAACAAGCCACAGGTGTGAGCCGCATGCACAGAGTTCTGCAAAAAGCTCAGAGTGTCTCTCTCTTTTGTAAAGAAGTGGTCGCAAGGGAGCTATGTGTAGAACAAGACAAGTTACTCCGCATGGCTCCTCGGATGACCACATGAGAACCCTCCAGTAAGTAAGTGATGGGCCTGCCCTCTTAATATTGATGTGCTGCCGAAGCATCGCACACCATTTCATTAAGCTACCCTCTGTGTCTGAATAAGTGTGTATATATCTGTATGAGTGTGTATGACTATCTGCATGCGTCTGTATTGCTGTATCTGTATGCCTGGCATTGTGTGAGTGTGTGTGTGTATGTGTGTTTGGCTGTGTATGTATGGTGGTGTTTGCATGACTGTCTGTATGTGTCTGCATGGCTGTCTGCGTCTATGGTTGTTTCATGACTGTAGTTGTATATGTCTTTATGGCATGGCTGTATTTGTCTGTATGGCTGTGCGTATGTGTGTTTATGGCTGTGTCTGTATAGCGGTGTCTGCCTGGCTGTCTCTATCTGTATGGCTATGGCTGTATGTGTCTGTATGGCTGTGAGTATTTGTCTGTATTTTTGTGTCTGTATGACTGTGTGTATATGTCCACATGGCTTTTTGGCTGTGTGTGTCTGGATGTGTGTATGTGTCTGTACTGGTGTTTGGCCTTGTCTGACTGTGTCTGTCTGGCTATGGCTGTGTATGTGTCCGTATGGCTGTGTCTGTATGAATGTATGACTGTATGAATGTGCCTAAAGGGAGTATGACTGCCTGTGTGAGTGTGCCTGTATGGCTTTACGACTGTCTGCATGAGACCCACTGCTATTACCACTATGATTAACATTACTATATTACATATGTAGCTATTGGATGCATGCAGCCCTCCATGCATACACAGATATGCCTACCCCTGACATAGGCGAATCCTCACAGGAGACTAGTATTGCCAAGTAATATAGCTGCATTTGGGTTTGGCAATAACCTGCAGACATATTAATACACTGATTAGAGCAAGATTTTAGTATGGTTTGGTAGAATTCAAACTCTGATAATGACACTTTGTACAGGAGAGAGGGAGGTTGAGAAGAGATACTAAAGTTGAAAATTGGATCTGGGTTAGAGAGATACACAGAAGTAAGGGTTAAAGAGAGATACAAGCATATTATTTGTGTATTTATCACCCTTGAGAAAGCTGCATCTTGCTGTTGCTGGGAGTGTGGCATCACTTTAAGGTGATATTTAAGTTTTGACCTTGCAACACCTCTCCATATATTCCTGGTACTGCCAGCATTGAATCAAGCCATCTACATCCCTGCCTGACTTCTACCGTACTGTGCTTTACCCATCCCAACTTACACTCAGCTCCTGTCCAACTCACTTCCAAAACAAACAGATGTTGCAGTCTCAGCATTCTGATTTACTCTGTGCAGTTGCTCGACGGTACTTTGTGTCAAGTGACTTTCCATTGAAAGTCAATCTGAGCTGTTTAAGGATTTATATCACCCTAGGCAAAATCCACTTTACAGTCCACTTGTGGATCCCATAACTCTATTCAGTCTCTATGTTACCTCTTTTTCTCTGAATGGATTCTCCGGCTGCCGGCCTTTCTTGTATTCCTCTCTTTTCTTAAGTGTCTATCTATTCCTATCTCATATTGCTCTTGTAATTGTTCGTCAGTGATGGGAGTTGCGTGTGAGTCTGTGCGTGATGTAGTTGAGCTGAATGTGCATGATGGGAGATGTGTGACTGCATGTATGTGAGTGTGCGTGATGGGAGATGTGTGACTGCGTGTGTGTGAGTGTGCGTGATGGGAGTTGTGTATGAGTGTGCGTGATGGGAGATGTGTGACTGCATGTGTGTGAGTGTGCGTGATGGGAGATGTGTGACTGCATGTGTGTGAGTGTGCGTCAGGCTGCACGGATGGGATGGCAGTTCTGTTCTTGAGTATGTGGGAAGATATTTGTGTGTGAAAACCAGCTAACAATTTAAATGATATGCTTTCCCGAAGAAGTGAGTTTTCAAAGATTTTTTGAAGGAGTGGAGACTGGGCAAAAGTTTAACGGAGAAGGGAAGGGAGTTCCACAGAAAAGGTGCAGCTCTGGAGAAGTCTTGGAGGTGAACATCAGATGTGGGAGTACGGACAGAGGTATACTCGACGAGATATATTTGTGTATTTGGTGAAGATAGGTAGGATGGAGCAGCATTATGTAGGGACCTGTAAGCAAGCACCAGAATCCTAAATTGAGCCCTATGTCTAATTGGAAGCCAATGTAGGGACTGACAGAAGGGGGAGGTGTTCATGTGTGTGATATAAATGGTGTGTGCTGAATGCTCGCACTGCCTAGCTTAGCTCAGGAGAGCTAATGAAAGTTCTTCTGGTGTTAGAAGTGGAGGCAGGAAGAGCCAGCTGGAGGAGTACAGGTACAAAGGTGAGAAGTCAAACCATGCAAAAGCAGTTTGACTAATTATAATGGGGAGACACCAGGGCCCTCCTGGCATTATAATCATTGCAGAGAGCCACAGTGGTTATGGTGCTTGGAGTGTTCCGTTAAGGTCATGTTTAGTCCAAATGAATATACTTCCCTCTACCGAATGGTACATATCTGGGAACTTGTTAATTAAATTTAAAGAAGTCACCCAATATCACCATTAAATCAAATCACTAGAAGAAAGACAATGTGTGTGTATGTCTGCTCCCCCTGATAAAGTTTAGTATCACCACAACATCTCACTGTGTACAACTAACATCAGCATTCCATGTGTTATTAGGGTCAGATAGATTGGATCAGTTTCCTTTACGAAACACTAGACTCTGCATGAAGCTCACAGGATATCTTTTTATATATTTCCTGTAAATGTGTTTGTGGTTTAAATAAGATTCCTTCCAGCAGGGATTGGATCCTTACTTTATTCACAGAGCTAAGCTCTACAAAAATAATGTAATCTCATAATTCATAACATGTATCGCTGCATAGTTAATGTGCCATGTTGTACGAACAGTTCCACTAATGAGCAAATTAATGTCATTCACAGAGGATCACAAACTGCTACCTTTTCACACATCCATTATAATAGAAACCCTGAAATATGAGTTATGTTTATCTACCTATATAATATGTTTTATGACCATTGATAGGATACCAATAAAGGCAGGCAGACATTGTCACTGATGGCTATTCAGATGTTTTAGTGAAACATTTACCCAAGTTACTCCAATAATGTACGCTCTGATTTAAGGAATTAAGTCACCTCACATGTTATTACTATTAATTGAGAAATGTTACCGATTGCCATGGAGGTATCCAGAACAGGATCTAGAAGTAGGGATGTCCCGAACGGTTCGCCAAACGGTTCGCCGCGGACGGCGAACATATGACCCTGTACCTCACAGTCAGCAGACACATTCCAGCCAATCAGCAGCAGACCCTCCCTCCCAGACCCTACCAACTCCTGGACAGCTCACTAAGAATGCAGCTTCAAAATGGATGCTGTCCAGGAGGTGGGAGGGTCTGGGAGGGAGGGTCTGCTGCTGATTGGCTGGAATGTGTCTGCTGACTGTGAGGTACAGGGTCATATGTTCGCCGTCCGTGGCGAACCATTCGGGACATCACTATCTAGAAGATGCCATCACATATATGACCATAAAAGATATTTAAAGTATATATATATATTAGCACAGGGGTATCTAGAATATGATTTAACCACCAAGTGCATCTAGAATACGATGGAGTCTATTACAGTAATTTGGTCATCTTGAATATGGTGGAGTTATTCATGTAGTCACAGGTCTGGGCACGCAGAAGATGACATGAAGATGTTCATATCAAGGGAATATGATTTAAAAATGGAATTTCTCACTTCCCTTTATCATGTGGTTGAGTGAACATCTTATGAAAAATAAAATCAGTCACATTATATGGCAGTTTGGAGACACCATAAGGGTAGAAGCGAGAAACAAATTGAATGAAATTTCTGCTAGCACGTATTTATGTATCGTCTGCCTATCACTACATGAGTTACAGAACCACATGAAGAGATTAGATTGCAATTTATTTTTAATGGGGCAGTACTCTGACAGTTAACTGCCTCTTCAGCACATCATAAATATGTGGCATGTGTTTGCCTGAATATACTGGCTGTCAGATATCCGTCTCTACGCTTTAAGTAACTGGGTCAGTAAGTTTGTTCTTGCAAGTACAAGCAGAAAAAGTATGTGTCAAGTTACACTTTGTGAACTCAGTTTATCATTGTATAATCATTTTTTCTTCCTAGTGCTTTTGTTTAAGCCACTTAAATCCATGTATTATCATTATTTTTCTTTTATCTTTTTTTCTTTAGAAATTGTATCGAATTAAAGGCTTATTTTGTAACTGAGGTTTCCAACCTTGTCTTTCCAGTGGTAGTTCGACTGTGTTTTCTATAATTCCCTGACCAGCTTTGGCAAATTATCTTTGAATATTTTACCAAAATACAGGAGTTACAGTGAAATCAAGCATTGCCTGGATATAAAGACTTATTCTATACATTGTTGATAGTCTTTGGACTTAAAAAATATTCTCGCGCATGACATTTCAACCTTCGGCCTCAATTTAATAATCTTTCCAAATGATTTAATACTGTTAGAAAAACTCTCCAAACTTTGATAGTGACTTCTGTAGATAAGTAATTCAAAAAGTTTTTCCAACAGTATTCGATCATACGAAAATCTCATTATATCAAGGCCCTAGTACTTATTGAGCTATCCTTTGCATGAATCTCTGCCAGTTCGTGGGGTTACCATTATATATTGTTGTAAGACATTGGCATTTGTCTTGATTTAGTAAGTGATTTTTTTTTTCAGAATCATTACCTCGAATCGTTATTCAATATCCAGCATTAGCTCTAGAACACCCAATATTGCCTGTTTTTCAGCATGAATCCTACAGGGATATTCATTAAAGGCTGATTGTCTAATCTAAGGTTAAAATATATGAACAGGAAACACAGCTGACTTGGGGATTTTTTTTGGCTATTCTCCAGTCAATTGTCACTTTTAGAATAACCCTGTAAGACTCCTCTAACCCATGCTTACAGCCCTACTTAGCCATCCTAACTAGAAATGCACTTGGTGAACGTTATAAAGTTCTGCAAAATGTATCAATCTATTTTGTGGTATAAGAAGGAATGTAAAGTGCATATATATAATACAACTTTTGGTTGCTCTTCTAACCATGAAACACCCAAAATGCATAGTGGACGATGGGCGTTAAAATGTGGGAGACTTGTGACATACTGGACAGGTGGCATTGTTCATAGGGAAATTGTTCTTTTATTAAAGACCTACAATCAAATCAGGGCTATTGCATCCTCACAGAGATCTTCAAGTCTAGAGATATTTTGTGTATTCGATGTGTGGAGAATAAATTATCAAGAAATTGAGCATATATTGGACTGGACCATGTTTTCTTTCAATGACATTGTAATTGGAGCAAGCAGCTTGCAGAGGGTTAGATAGGGATCTAAACACAGATAGTCATGGTGCTTGTGGTCATTAGGATTTGACAGGCTTTTCTGCTCTGTACACTAAATCAGCCACAACATTAAAACTACTGACAGGTGAAGTAAATAACATTATATTATTACAATGGCACCTGTCAAGGGGTGGGACATATTAAGCAGTTCTTGAATTTCATGTGTTGGAAACATGAAAAATGGGCAAGCAGAAAGATCTGAGTAACTTTGACAAGAGCCAAATAATGATGACTAGATCCACTATAGAAAGGTGTCAGAACACACCATGCATCACAGTTTGCTGCATATGGGGCTGCGTGGCCACAGACTGGTCAGAGTGCCCATGATGACCCCTGTCCACCACTGAGAGTGCCTTTAATGGGAACCTGAGCAACAGAAGAGATGACAGCAGGATGCACTACAGGAAGATGGCAGGCCGGCCGAGGCAGTGTTATGCTCTGGGCAATGTTCTGTTGGGAAACTTTTTGATCTGGCATTCATGTGGTTGTGAATTTGACACATACAGCCTACCTAGAGATTGTTGCAAATCACATACACCCCTTCATGACAGTGGTGTTCACTGATGGCAGTGACCTCTTTTAGTAATGCACCCTGTCACACTGCAAAAATCGTTCATGAGTGGAATGATGAACATGACAAAAAGTTTAAGGTGAAACCTTGGCATCCAAACTCCTGAGTTCTCAATCCGATTGAGTATCTGTGGGATGTGCTAAAAAAATAAATAAAAAAAAAATAAAAAAATCGGATCCATGGTGGCCCCAACTCGCAACTTGCAGAACTTAAAGGATCTGCTGCCAATGTCTGGGAGCCAGATACCATAGGACACGTTCAGAGGTCTTGTGAAGTCCATGCCTCAACACGTCAGAACTGTTTTGGAAGCACGAGGGGTACCTACACGATATTAGGCAGGTGGTTTTAATGCTGTGGTTGACCAGTGTATGTCTTTTTCATGTTTGGGGCTAATATCCTGCTATTTGTTGCACTTTTATCAATGTTACACTTAGACAAAACATTGTTTTAAGCTATTTCCAGCAAAAGTCATGCAGGATAGATTGACTGTCAACTGTGGTTAAATTGTGGTCGCATGTAAGAGTTACACTTCAGAAAGTGTATAAGCCACTTAGAAAATAAATCTGATTGTTTTGAACTAAATGTTTTTCATCGGCTTTAAACAGTGTTTAGAATTAAAGAATTCTTTGGGAGTTTTCAATCTGTGCTCTCTCTCGCCCCTACCAAACTACATACCCCATAAAAGTGTATATGTTTATAAATATATATATATTGTTTAGAAAGCAATATGTAATGCATACATTTAGATTATTCTTGAACTGGAATATTTAATTACCCAAGATATAGCTCTATGTCATTGATATTGGATTTAAATATATCATTTTCAATTTGAACTGAAGGAAACAGCTGGCTTTCGAGTAAGAACATTTGCTTTGAGACCTGTAACATATTTTACTCCCCTTTTATATTATATGCTGTTTGTAATTATTGACATCTATGATATAAGCTCTGAATTTTTTTTAAATATTTAATTAGCATCTTTATGTTGGGTGATTTATACACTATTGTTCACAGAGATGTGGTGCATTATGTAGACTTTGTTTACAAGTCAGAAAGGTATCTCTCTCCTGCTGTTGTTAAATTATCGTAAACGGTGATACATTTTGTAAAGTTTTTTCTCTGCCTGTCAAACATACCACCCAAGTATCCCTATCTAGGTGGAAGAGTCCAAGTTATCCCGCGCTTTGATATCATAATATCCTTTAGAATCCCGAAATGATGCTCTGTATGAGTGTATAACAGAACTATAAAACTTTTAAAAAGTGTTTTTAAGCATTGGGTATATTGTTTCTGTGACATAAATGAATGATGGTAATAGCTATTAATAGTATTTCTAGTAGCAACGCAGGAATGGAACATGTTTGGTTATTGCTAATTGAGATTTTCAAGGCATACACACTCTGCATGGAGATGCTTTATTGCCCCCCAATAAAGATCCAACGAGTTGATGCATGTTTATGAAGAGCTAGTGATTGGCACTCTAATTTGGAGAGGGCTCTGGTGTAAGATTTTTTGGGGGACTCCCTCTAGCACAAGCATGGCCAAAAGGTAAGACTCCATCGGTCACACAACTCCCACAATGCTTTTCCAGCTGGGGATCCATGTGCTCATCCTGAATGTAATTTGCATGTATTGTTTGTTTGAATTCTTATTCGCATCACTTATGTCACCTAAAACCCCCTCAAATCAGATGTTAAGCCACCGTGCTTCCATTACCAAATCACCCGATACCCCAGCATGATCTGGTGCAAGCGGTTACAGTTGTAGAATTGGAAAGAGAACAAGGAGGTGCTATCCACATGTATGTATTGGAACTGTCATGACATTAGCTTAAATAATTACATTACAATTTTTACTGTGTAGGGGTCGTTAAACCAGGAACTGAAGAAGATGAAAATAAGCGGCGTGATTCTATATCCGAAAGGAATATGTAAACCCTCGTAAACAGTTATCTATCCCTCAGATCAGTGTCAATGGAATACACCAATGTGGCCATGAGATTATCACAACAGAATAATGTTCCCAGCACTGACACTTCTGTTTAATTGCTGTGCATAATGATGCAACCCAATAGACCAGGGGTCTCCAAACCCTGGCCCTCCAGCTGTTGCTGAACCACAATTCCCATGATTCTTTCAATTAAATAGATATCCAAAGAATCATGGGAGTTGTAGTTCAGCAACATCTGGAGGGCCAGAATTTGGAAAACCATGCAATAGACCATAAATAAAAAATAGCATATGGAACAAGTGCAGGCTGGAGGGCCTCTAGTGGGCTCCACCAGTGGACCTTGAGCATACACTAACATCAGATGTTTTTGTTTCTACATAGTATCTATGTTTTTATTTGCTTTGTTAGTGAAAGATCACAAATCATTACTCACAGATTACTTGAACAGTTGCGGTGAAACGTTATGGGAGTTTTAGTTAATGAATATTTGACATTTACAGTGATATATTAGATATTGGTCA